GTGTCAAAGTAAGCAGAAAGGATGAAATAGGAAACATTTGTCACATTCATTATGATGCTTTCAGGTCAAAGTCCCAGTTGAAGCAGTAAAAGTCACAAACACAGATCAGAGTCTGGAACACAAGTGAGGAAACTAACAGACATGTTGTTCTGTAGTAATGAGACTGAAAGTGTCTCCAATCTGGATGAAGCTTTGTCTTTTCAATCTTCTCACAGCAACAGTCTGATGCAAACTGTSCAATTCCTGTTGGACTCAGAAAAGATGGTCATGAGCCTCAACTGGCAGGGGATTGGTGCAGCTGACACCAGAGAACCAACTCATGCAGGTTTGACATTTGGCTTGAAAAGTCTTGTTGGGTTATTGTGTGAAAGTGCTGAATGTGAGATTGTGTTTTTTAAAAATGAAAATAGTCTCATCCTCATCAATGGGATGGACCAGTGGTCAGGGYGACAAACCAACATGTTTTTAAAGATTTCTTTTGAATGATGGTTGTGTGAGGTCATTAGACTGACTATGTGTCCCCATTGAGACCCCAGATGTCAATAAAACCTAACTGATCCATTCTTGTCAGGCTACAACATAAAACAGAGATTAATCACAAGGTATTGAGGTAGTCAAAAAGCTCCTCAATGGCAGGGCCCTAGGGGTGGACAAGATTTGCCCCGAGACATCACATGGAGGACTGGTACAACTCCTGGGAAGTGGCAGACCAGGGTGGTGGTTCCTATTTTTAAAACGGGGGACCAGAGTGTGTGTTCTAACTATTGTGGGATTACACTTCTCACCCTCTCCAGCCAAGATCAGTCCAGGATGTTGGAAGGCAGGCTTCGATCGAAGACCTCAGATTCAATGGAAGCAGTGCGGCTTTCGTCCAGGGTGTGGAATAGTGGACCAGATCTTTACCCTTGCGGAGTTACTAAGGGGGTTGTGGGAGTTTGCCTCTCTGGCCTACATGTGTTTTGTGGACTTGGAGAAGGCTCATGACTCTGGTCTTTGGGGCATTCTGTGGGGGGTGCTGTGGGAGTATGGAGTGTCTGGGTTTGGTACTAATGCCCCTTTTTCACTAGTGCCACCTAGTGTAGTGTCAGTATGGTCAGTGTTGGAATGGATCAGTTCGGTTGTTTTTCCATTGACGTTCCAGTCTGGTTCAAGTGAGTGTGTTTTGGGCATTTCCACAATCCGAAAATTGTTGTCACTCGTATTTGCCTGATGGTGACGGTAATGCTGTTTGTAGGCAACCATTAAACGTAGCAGTAGGTTTGAACCAGTTTGAACCGACTTGAACAGCCCCTTCCATTGTGGTCCTTAATCGTGCAGGAATCGTGCAGGAATCGCACTTCAACTTTTTCAGTTTGTCCTGACATTGCTTTAGGGTTCTTTTGTAGTGGCTATCAGCTCCGACAACTCCTTGAACACTTTTTTGTTGTGAGTCGACCCATCTAGCTCACTTTGAATTTTCTCCTCTGCCACCAAGCACAAAAACTCCTGCACCTCAACATTGGACCATGGTGTGGATCTCTGTTCTGCCATTGAGAGTGTAATTGCTACAATAGAAAAAAATGGCGCCTCGAGTTGTTTTTGTAAGGACAGCTCAGTGACTCCACCCCTAACCAATCAGTGACAAATAGTGTTCTGATGTCGGAAATGTACCGAACCGAACAAAGCCAGCCTGAACATGTTGTTCTGTAGTGAGACTGAAAGTGTCTCCAATCTGGATGAAGCGCTTTCTTTTCAATCTTCTCACAGCAACAGTCTGATGCAAGATGTCCATTTCCTGTTGGACTCAAGAAAGATGGTCGGGGCTTTGCTGGAATAGGGGTCTGGCCGATTGGCCTGGTGCAGCCCGGGCCGAGACTTGGCTGTCTGCTCCTCTCCACCCCAGATTGAAGGGGTCTACCTCCTGGGTTTGGGCGTGAGCTGCCCTCTTTAAGGGACGGGTGCATGTCCTGGACCTGGGGGATATAGAGTATGTATGGAGAATATGAGTGGAGTTTGGCGTCCATCCTGTCTGTCTTTGAATGAATGGGTGAGAGGATGAGGGTGGGACTGTGTGATTGTATTTGTGTATACTTGTATTTTTGTCAGGCTGGGACTTGGGCGGCCCCTTCTTCGGGTTMATTTKAGGGCCCACTGCTTTCCCTGCCACAATGCCCTCTGGTGGGTTGTCCCCTTGCCCGCCGGTGCGCTGGTGGCTCTTGTTGTCCAGGGCTGGGTGCTTGGGCATGTGC